AGAGAGAGAGAGAGAGAGAGAGAGAGAGAGAGAGAGTTCACATCTATGAAGATGCTGATATGTCCAAAAATGAAAGAGGGAGTGAGGGTCTGCATCTATGAAGGTGCTAACATGTCCAAAAAGTGAGAGAGAGGGGGAGGAGTATGCATCAATGAAGATGTTGATCTGTTTATAACATGAGAGAGAAAGAGAGAGGCAAGTCATTCAATCTTTCGCAGCATACACATCGAAAACATATTCTGCTCTATCTTTCAGACTCAGATTCAAGAACAGCTGGGAGACATTTACATCTGCAACAATTTCCATCGATGCAAGCGTCCTAGCTACGGGGTATGAGGCCCTTGATCTTAGATATGGCCTTGCTGACACTAGTTGTGTATGGATTTTGATAGAGGTTTTGAATAGCCTCTGACAGATAACACGCAGCCTTTGCCAAAGCATCAATTGCGTCGGATATTGACCTCTTCTTCTTTGGCCTCGTAACTGTATTCCTCCTAGACGCAAACGACTGCACAGATGTCTCTGATACATCATCCTCTTTCACTTGGTAACTCATTGAGGTGGTAACTGGTACCTAATAACCTTTTATGTTTTCAACCCTTCATTTTATGAGTACAAGCAGCCAGAGCTGCAGTTACTATACATAAAGTTGCAGTGTAAGCGGCAAACAACACTACCATCCTCTCCTTCCTCTCACGTTCGACATTTTCCTTCATTTTGTCAGTCATGGCAAATATCTACTCCCTAGTTCGACCAATGCAATGGAAGAAAACATCATTATTTAATAAAAACACGATAATCAGATAATATTGCAGCCAAACAAGCACTAAAATTTATAAATAATGGAGTGCAAATATATTGAAAAGGGATACAAAACAACCCAATTGTTCTCTCGCAAAAGTGGAAGCAGAAACGTATGAAAGTTGCAATCTATGTAGAATAATATTCATATGAGTAGGAAAAACTGCTGCAAACACATCAACTGAACACACCACCTAACATGCCAGATCAAAAGACAAGTGAAAATGAAAGAAGCCATTTATTTAGGAAGAAATGATTGATCGAATATGACATTTACAATCTAATTTCCTGATTTTTTTACCAAGTTCAATAATCCAAGTTGATAGATTTCAGTAACACTTACTGATGTTACTGCAGTAGCGTCAAACACAATGACACTGCTGTTCACGATCTAATTCAATGAATTCTATTTGAGATATGGCTGCTCGTTTCTACGAGACTGATAGATCAATGAGTTAACGGTATTGATCATGAGCAATAGTCTTTATTTTGGATGAAATTGATGATCAAATTGCATTGATCATCATCATGTATTCTGCTGTTTCTGCTGCAGTAAATTGCAGCAGATATTCATCCTATTTGGTTCAAGTTTTGTTGAATTAAAATGCACAATCTGAGAGCACATGATCTGAAATGGATTGAATTGGTGGCATTCTCTGCTGCTGGAGCAGCAGTGTCAAAACACCGTGACGCTGTTGTTTATTAACTGGTCTTATCTAATTCTTTGAGATATGGCAGTGCATTCATGTGAAACGATGCACTAATGTGTTCTGATTGACGACCATGATAAAATGATTGTACATGTTGCATTACTCGACAGATATGACAGTGCATTCATGAGATATTTTGTTGTTCATAGATCAGTTGGATCAGATATTTTGATGGATGCTCTTTTTTACAAGATAAATGCATCTTTAGATTGTGATAATGATCATATTCAACTGATTTCCAAATTGAATGAAATCAATGAAGATTTTCTATTAACTGCCAACATATACCTTGCTGGTTTCTGCAACCAGCAGAAACATAACTACGTGACTCAATCATATGATCTTATCAAGATCTGATTAATTCATATTGAGCAGCATATATTGTTAGAGTATTAAGTGTTATTTTTATGATATATATGAATAGATCAGCAGCATAATCTACTGTTAATATCAGTTAAGTATAGCTGAACTTGAAAAGTAACTGATTATGTCTTGGTGTGACATAATGATGAGGCATTTTGACCTAGTTTGAGATTTAATTTAATCTCACAGATTTTTTATGATCTTCTACCAGTTAAACAGTACTATTTGAGTGTTTTCACATTCTCTTCATATATGTATGCATCACGAAGAGTTCTAAATGGGCCAGACCAACCATGAACAGGCCATCCAGTATATCTTGGGCCTATCTCCGCTCCGGTTCCTGCCACCCACACCATCTCCTGCCCCTACTTTGAGTACTGTTCCGTTGAAGCGGTTGGCTGTTCCAGCCTGATTCAGGTCTACTCTAACAAATAGTTTTGGACACTTCTCAAAGACTACAAGAAAATGCATGCAACTGTAAATTGCCTATATTTTGCATGGGAAACAAGCCTGTTAGTCCATATATGATCATCAAAGATAAGAATTAAGCCATGCACATGCATAACATGCATGCATGATTATAATGATTTCATATGCAACACAAATCTACCTTAGATATGGTTGCCTTTTATCACAGGGAGAAAAAAAAAAAACTACAGACATGTTTTATTATCCAAGAACTAAAAAAAATGCAGACATTCATATTAAAATAAAGCATAAATGGAATGTTATTAAACTGAAATAGTATTTGAAAGCAATTCATTTTAAATAAAATATCCATTTCTGTGAAAAGAAAAAAAAAAAACTATAGACATGTTTTATTATCCAAGAACTAAAAAAAATGCAGACATTCATATTAAAATAAAGCATAAATGGAATGTTATTAAACTGAAATAGTATTTGAAAACAATTCATTTTAAATAAAATATCCATTTCTGTGAAAAATACTCACACGAAAACTCTTCAAGTTCAAAAGCCCCCAAATCAAATCACAATAATTCAAGGTATTCCCTATATTTCGCCAATTTTGCGGATGAAAATTCATCCAAATGAACTCAAACCCAACACCAAATAAACTCTATACTTTTGAGTTCAAGTTTAAGAGCCATCCCAAAAATTAACAGAAGTCAAATTGCAAATTGCATCATCATCGAAATGCTAGCCCTATTCCATATTACACAATCAATTCCAATAACAAATTTAATGGAGAAAGAGTTAAGATAAAGGGAGAGATCACAGATAAAATTAAAGGCATCAGAAACGAAACTGAGAAATCAATCGGCACAGAAATAAAACCCAAGGAATCAGATAAAGCATGCACAAAGCCTTAGACATATAACTATATACAAGCTCACTTAGATAAAAAAAACACTTGAAATACATAGAGAAAAGCATGATTTCAAATTTAGAATGAAAGCCTAAAATTTGAATCGTAGAGAAAAAAAGAAGCAATAGATTTGCACTCCAATAAAATGGTGAATGTGAAGTTATTGGAAGAAAAACCAGTTTCTAGAAGGGTATAAAAGATGAAGGCCTTTTGCCCGATTTTATGTTAAGCAAACCCTCTGATCATGGAGTTGCAGATTGTCTTGTTGTTAGGTTTGCACAATTTGGAGAAGGGCATCGATGCAAAGTCCATATCGCCTGGTTCTTGGCAGGAAGAGAGTACGATTATGGGGCGGGAACACAATGAGTTTCAAAGAGAGATTATGTTCTTTTAGAGAGAGAAACTCCTTGGCTAGGTTACAGTAAACAATTGAGATTGTAGTTGCAGTGAGGAAGAGAGATCTTTGCAGTGGGCTAGGATTTCTGTAGCGTCTGCGCCTGTGTGATGAAGACAACTTCTCATTTCAGAGCTTCAACTCTGTGCATTTTTAAGCACCCCGCCATTTCCAATCTGGATGGGAATTCACGTCTCAACCACTGGGATGGCATGGATCTAGATTCTGGATGGGGATCACCCAACGGACTTTGGAATGACTAGGTTTTATTAACTTACCTAATGTTAATATGTTTCTAGGTCCTTTTAAATCCCCATCTCATAAATTTTGATTTTGATTTTTATTTTATTTTATTATTTTAAAATATTTTATAGCACCAATTTAAACTGATCTAAATTCGAATTGGATCGATGATTGACTGATTTAATACATATGTGTAGGTGAAGGATTTGTCCCATAAATCTAAGTTTTAAAACAATAACAGGAGTTTTTTTTTTTTCGGCTCCACGGAGATTCTCCTCTCTACAGAAAACATGTCGAGCTCTATTCAACCGTTTTGGGAAGAATAGAGTTCTTCACATTGGTGGGGAAAAACATCGAGAGGCCTCTCGGCAAGAGAGGCCAATCCGACTAGGTAATGCTCTAGCCAAACAAGGGAGAGCGCGCTAGTCCCTAGAGAGACATGTCGTTGAAAGATCACTCTACGTACCTAAATGGCCCAGTGCCGAATTCGATCTAGATCAACGGTTTCTTAAACCTTGGTCTAATTCACGCCAATAAATATTCTACTTCCTCGAGCATATACTGTCTATTTACTCCTGGGGCAAAACCCTACTTTTAGATCTCAAATTTTGTGGATACAATCTCTTAACACATAGATTGACTTCAATAAAAATATTTCTTAATTGCACCCTTTAAGCACTTGAGCAAAATAATGTCTCGAGATTAAATAGAAACCATCCAACTTTTAGAGGGTGAGATCTAAGTATCAAAAAAGCTCAATTTTTTTTTAAAAAATACTGGTGTAGTGATTCTTAGGAGGTCGCCAAAATTTCAAATTGAAAACCCAAGCAAGTCATTTGATTGAGGGAGTAGAAGCAAATTATGCTCCCTAAGAAGTAGGGCATGCATGCTCTTAATTCAAAACCAGGAGACTCATCCCTGCTAAACACAAGAAAAGGCCCAATGTGGATCACTGTGGGTGCGTTATGGACCAGCTAGGTCCAGCAACGAGGCTTAATGAGGTTGCTTAACCCCGCATGACCCTCTCTCACCTGGTCTCTTCATTATTCTTTGGAAGAAACATTAATGGGGGCTCAAATTTTGGTTCTTGTCATTTTATTTAATCTGTGAAATAAACAAATAGTATTGAGAGGAAAAGAAAACAAGATATAAATAAATACACAACCTTCTATCTTAAAGAGGGAGGATTTCAGGAAGCATCCTGTTGAAATCGATACTGCAGTTGCAGCATTTGAGAGAAAGAAAAGTATCTTGTCCACATGATGTGGATGGGTGGAAGGGTGCAACTGGTTTAGATTTCACAAGGCCCAATAATTAATATCATATTTTATTTTTTTATTTAATATTTAAATAAAATATTTATCTGATTTATAAGCTGTAGGTTTATTTCTATAAATAGAACTAAATAAGATGATTAAAAAATATATTAAATAAAAAGACTAAAACTCCTAAATTTATTTGATAAATATCTTTCATTCAAAATATTTTTTTATTAATTATTTAATTCTACTTATAAAAATGAGATTGGCATTCAAATTAATATCATTTTTAAATATAAAAAAATCATTTTTAGCCTTTAGATGAGGATGGTTCAATTGGAACCATTAAAAAATGTCTATGCACCTTTCGACCTTGCACATGTTGTGGACCAACCCAAGAGAAAAATACTTACAAGAGTTTTTTTTTTCTTTTTTTTTTTCTTTTTACTTCGGAACTATCCAAATTGAATGGCATTGGCTAATGACTCAAGTGGATTCTTTTTTTCTTTTGACCTTTTGTGAACATATGTTCTTCTTTTTTTACTTCTTGTCAAGGTATCCACCTCAATTCTCCCCTTTCGGAGGGAGACTTCATTACAAGAGGTTTTCTTTGTTTTCTAGTTCTCTTTGCTAAAGGATTTCCTCTATAGGGAGGATACTATAAATATCCTCCCTCGGCCAAAACACATGCTATGGGTATTTTTTGGATCTCAAATTTTAGAGATGTAATCTTTATAGCCTATAGAATAATCTTGAACAAAAAAAAAAAAAAAAAATCCGAAATAAACTCTCTATGTACTGGACAAAAACTTATGTCTCAAGATTAAATAAAGACTGTACAATTTTTGAAGACCTAGATCTAAGTTTCATAAAACTTAAAATTGAAAATTTTCAAAAAATAATCATCTAGTGGTTATTATGTATTTCCCAAAATTTTTAGAGTTAAAAAAATCTCCTGACTAGGTATTTTGAGTGAGAGAGGAGATGCGCATTATCCTCCCTGGGGAGCATAGAATATGTGCACTTTCTCTTTTGGCTTCTTCAATTCTCTTGCTCATTCATATGATTCAGCTTATTCTCTTATTTATTTGATCCATTGATTCCAGGAAGTTTGTGTTATAATGAGCCATGATGATCATTTCGAATAATATTTTTTGGAAGACATTATATTATGGGTGTGGTTTGTATAAAGCTGAAGCCCTAAACAATCAAAGTACGGCACGCCTTTAAATAGTGTCAAAGATCTCGTTTTAGGACCGAAAATATTTATGATGGATTACAATTTTATTTTTACTTCTAATTATGAAATTTCTAGCTTAAAAAATAGTGCATATCAACTAGATCTACTAGCAGTTGAGAATCTTGAAAATTGACGATTTAGATAATGCATTACAATATGCACTATTTTCAAGACTTGAAGTCTATTTTTTTAATGTCCATGTCTCTTAAGGTCAAGATGATTGGATTTGATCATTGAAACAGCTTAATCTACTGCTTTTTTGAGGTACGCCTTAATTTGATTGTTTAGGGCCTCGGCCTTGTATAATATTTTTCCTTATAATATTATTGGGAAAAATATTAAGTGAGAAAGTCATGTAGACATTGCAAAAACAGTTGGGTAACTTCTATTCTTCCAAACCAAAAAAAGAAAATTGCGGCCCAAGGCCGACCGGGCCTGGCCAGTTCACCAAGCCCATTGCCACCCTAACCTCCTCCTCTGTTTATTGAATTCAAACTCCCCCATGAACTTTTCAATTTTAACTGTCAATATTAAAATGAAACTCTTTGAACCATTTATTGAATTTCAGAATCTGATCAACCTTTAAACTCAGAGGAAACTCAAAGACTCATACATGGTAAATTTCAACCCTCTCAATTAATTTCAAAGTATTCATTGCAGAAACCATACAAATTACATACCAAAAGAGAGGAGAACACGATATAAACTAGGTAACATGTCATTGAGCCATCTTTTCCACCTTATATAGATAAAAAAAAGGCAAAATTACGCACAGACAGGGTTTGAATGCGTTTATTGTGGTACCACCCCCCTCCCCCCCTCCCCGGTCCGTAGCCCCTTTTTTTCTTTTCGAGAGTCACCCACATATCTGGCATTTCTAACATGGGAGAGGTGAGAAATTCCGCAAGTTTTTTATTTTCTTTAGTAATAAGGGCTTGGTGAACAAACATGCTATTTAATGTTTCTAGAATCATATAGGTTAACTTCATAAACTATCTGGCATTAAAAATATCAGACCTATTGTAAGTCATTATAATTATTTAAATTTATATTATTTAATATATAGTAAAATTTATCTATTTATTCTTTTATTTATTATTCTTTGTATTTGAATATATTTTATTCAAGGGTGTGGTTTGCAACCTTAAACAATCCAATTAAGATACGCCTCTAAAGTTTATCATAAATGTAATTTTGATATAAAATTTTTTTAGGATTGCTTGAGAATCTATTTTCATCTCTAATTATAAAATTTTAAACTCTAAAAATGGTTCAAATCAAGCAGATCTATGAACACATGAAAATCTTGAAAATGGACAGTCGAAATAATGTGTTGCAAGATACACTATTTCAAGGACTTGAAATCTTTTTTTCTTTTCATATTCATACATCTTAAAGTCGAGATGATCAATTAGAGGGTTTTCCAACATCCAAACAACCTTTTATGGTGGGTTTTTGAGGCGCACCTTTGATTCTACATTTTAAGGTTGCAACCTTATATAAAGTTTTTCCTTTTTTCAAAGGGGGATCATGCCATTTTCCCTTGGTCTTTAGTGAAAAGGCATCTTAGTTCATTGATACAATATGAATGCCTTGGTGATTAAGGGAACCTTCTTTTTCACAAAAGGGTATTAAAGCATAAAGGAAGGCTTTCAATTGCTCTGAGAGAAAAAGACTTTTGAGAGAAAAGGGAGGAAATTCAAGAAAGGTGAGGAAAAGATTATACGCTCCCGCGGGAGCATAATTTCATAAGAATTAGGATGGGATATAACCTCCTCAATCTAGAAATTAAGAAAGAAAAGAAAAACAAAGTACAAAGAAAATCATACACACTCCATATCTAGGAAAAAAAAAAAGGGACGGAGAATTTATGCTAATATTCTTTTCTTAAAAAATAAGAATCTTTTACATATGTTGTGATTTATGCGCATGTCCTCTCTCTTTTTTTCCTTAAAATGACACCACCTTAAACTTTCAAAGTCGATGCCAAATCTATTAACAAATCAATTTGGAAATTGAAATTCTGAACTGGTTTTTTGTTAACCAACTGGTCCAAATTTTGAAACTCCAAATAGGCTTATTTGAGTTTTGGTAGAAGCGATCGAGTTAAGCAAGTGAATAGTGTAGATCTGATTTTGAAATTTCGAACCCCGAACTCAAAAAAACTCGTTCAGAATTTCAAAATCCAAACCAGTTGGTTCACAAAAAAACTGGTTTAGAATTTCATCCAAGTAGTTTTGTTAATAGTTTCAGTTTAGATTTTTAAAATCCAAAATATCAAAAATGGGTACATGAGCATAACTTGTAATATATGAGGAATAAAAATTTAATTCTAAAAAAAAACAGAGGGCTCTCGGCAAAACTTTTTCAAAAAGAAAGATGTTTTAAGATTGAATAGAGATTGTCCAAATTATTGCATTTGCATTTAGAAATTGTGGATTCAGCTTTTCCAAAATAACTATTATAGATTGGATTGGAAGATTTTAGATTAAGAAAATGGTTTGATAGGGCTGAAGCCCTGTCAAAATAAGTAAAGCATCACCTCATAACTGATAGGAAATTGCAATTCAAGCATAAGCAAACCTTTATATCGATCATCTCAGCTTAAACATTATGGTTGTGAAAACAATTTAGAATTTTAAGCTCTAAAAATAGTGTATATTATGTATATTGTAACAAATTATCTAGACCGTCCATTTCACCTTAAAAATAAATGTTCATGGATCTGCATGATCTGTGTCATTCTTTTAGTTTCAAAATTTATTGTCAATGTTGAAAATTGATTTAAGAGTAATAGTGGAAATTTATGCCGTCGAAAGTGCTTTCCAAATAAGGATTTGAGGTGAGGCTTTATTTTGTTCTCATAAAGCCTATGCCTTACAGAAACTTCATCTTTTAAATCTAAAGAACATTCAGATTTTCACTTGTTATTTTCTCTATTAAAGAAGCCTGAGATTTTATTTGATATAAAGGAACTTTTTAGCTTGTATTCAAAACATTATGGTCCTCGAAGTGTCATCCTAGAGCTAAGTGGTTCTCTTTGCTGGCTATTCTCTGACTTCCTACTACTTTTTTTTTTCGGAAATGTGGGTTCACTTTGGATTCTATATGTCCTTTTTGCGTGAGTCATGACGATAACATATGCCATCTTTTATTCAATGTGCTTTCTCGTAGGGTATCTAGAGATCAGTTGCATAGAGATGTGGTAAATATTTTACTCAAGGCCCACCCTATGGTAACCATGCTTAAAAATTGGATTGCTTTTAGATTCAAATCAAATGGTCTCTTTGGTGTCTGGAATTTTCTTTTTTTCACTACAGTTTGGTTCTTATGGGAGGAGAGTAACCACAATTTTTCAGTGGAAGACATCAAGGAGAAAGCAATTACTAAGGAGGATCACTTCATATGTTCGCGAGCTAGCCGATGTCAAAGCATGGGCATTCCATATATATAAAAAAAGTAATTATTGAAAAATTGCAAATCACATGATGCCAACAACAACCCAAAATCCGTATTCCGATGGCATGGTTTTTTACTTGTCCCAATTATTTCAAGTTAAATATTGATGGGGCCTCTTTACAAAATCCAGGAGAGGGTGGAGACGTAATCAGAGGCGATGATGGTGCTCCACCCCTTTTGGTATTGCATCCAACAACTGTGCGGAGTTTCACCTCCTCATAGAGGTGATTGATCTGCCCATTCAATACGATAACTTCCCATTGCAAATTGAAAGTGACTATTCTCTACTTGTCAAAGCAATTCAATGCTAATGTAATGCCCCATGGGCACTCCATACGGTCCTAGTCAATTGCATATATAGTCTTTGGAATCGTGTGTGATCCATTTTCCATATCTATCACGACGCCAACATGGTAGCGGATTTACTAGCCAAAAAGGTTGTTTTTTTCTCATGCTACAGTTTGGCACGTCAGACTGATGGATTATACTTCCTTTAATCTTCTTCATGATTTAGCACGATGTCCTATCGTATAGTTGTAAAATTATGAGCTCTACTTTTTTATCCTTATTAATGAAAAATGGGTAGGGAACCTTCTTTCCCATTCATTTACCCAAGAAAAAGAAAGATTTTCGCCTGAGGTAGTTAGTAGGTACATAGTATACACCCGCGGCAGGGCGGTGTGACGAAAAGGGCAAATAAGAATGTAAAGCTGTAAAAATGAGGCTCTAAAATGTCCAGATACCGACACGAGTGAGACGGTGCATAGCACGGAAGCACACACTCTCTCTCTAGAGTTTAGAGAGAGAGTAGCACAGTCGCTGGTAACGAAGAAATGGCAGGAGTTGCAGAGGTCGCTGATAATGATACCATACAAAACGGCTTCTCTTTGGACATCAAATCGCTTCTGAGCGGTGAGGAGAGGGATTTTCTCATAAGAAGCAACGATGATCAGGTAATGCCCCATTTTGATTGGTTTTTTTTTTGGGGGATTTTTTGGGTGATTTTGCTTCTTAAAATTGGTGGCTTTTGATGGTTCCCTTGGAATTTTGGTGTTTATATTTTTTAGGATTTTGGAGCTTTGTTTTCTGCAAAAATCTCTCTCTCTCTCTCTCTCTCTCTCTCTAATGTGTTTGGGTACCATAGGTACAATGGAGAATTAAGATTATGAAGTTTCCTCTTGTGTCTATGTGCTTCTATGTTTTTCCTTGTGTAATCACCAGAAAACCATAAAAGCCAAGATACTATTGTGGGTTTTCCCAAAGAAAACCATATTGCTTAACCCCCCACCAGAAAAAGAAAAACGCAAAAAATGAAGAACTGTCTCTCTGTGTTTTGCAATAGATAGAGATTTCAAGATTTTGAGGCTGGTTTTATCTAGAGTGTTGTGTATGGCCCTATGTATATATGTTATTGTATTCACGTCTATACACCTGAGATTCTAAATTGCTCAATTGAATAGAGAATGTTGTTGCAACCTTGAGGTTATGGATAAAAATCAACTTTCTTGCCCACCCAAAAATACAAATAAGAGCTTGTTGCCTTTATGGTGGTTGTGTTTTTGTGTGTTTGTACAGCATGGAATGAAATTTTGAATTCTCAGTGTTTGTGAGTGTGCACATGAGAGAATTGTTACTATGAAGTTTTCATCAATTCAAACGTAGGCGTGCGTGCACACACTGATGAATTAAATGCTTTTCCATTTATAATTTTATATGACCATCTTCTTCGAAACTTAATAGGTGAAGATAGGCGAATTGAATGGGAAAGTGATCGGGCTCTTTTTTTCGGCCTCTTGGAGCGGTCCTTGTATGACTTTTACACCCGAATTGATTGCCATATACAAAGAGCTCGAAATTGCAATCAAGGGTGATTTCGAGGTTGTGTTTGTATCTTTGGACTCAGAGGAGAAGTCATTTGAAGAATATTTCAGTAAAATGCCGTGGCTTGCCATTCCCTTTTCTGACTCCAAAACTAGAAGCAAGCTTGAAAAGGATTTCAAAGTTTCAAGCATTCCTCACCTCATTATTGTTGGAAAAGATGGCAAAATTTTGACAACAGGTGGGGTTGATATTGCATCGAATTATGGGGTGGATGGTTACCCATTTTTGCCAGAGAGGTTGGAAGAGGTCAACGAAGAAGATGAGGCAATACGCCAAAACCAGAGCTTGAGGCCTCTTCTTGTGACAAACACCCGAGGCTTTGTTATATCGAATGATAACAAGCAGGTGCAACTTTCAGTAATTATTAGCTTTCATAACGTAAACTAGAGAGTAGATGTGGATTTACTAAAAAAAACAAAAGAGATTAGACATGGTTTTTCAGTAAGAGCAATTTTGGGTGTTTCTTACATTAACACAGAAAATGTATGAGAAAACACATCAGCATTGATAGGTGATACCAGGGCTGGACAAGCATATAGCACAACTTATTATAACACCCATTTACACAGAAAATCTATGAGAAAACACATGAGCATTGATAGGTGATACCAGGGCTGGACAAGCATATAGCACCACTTATTGACTGCCCATGTTCCTTGGATTAATGTTTATTGTGTTCCTAGCAGTTGATCATTTGCCCTAGCTTGAATTTCAAGTGAAGCATTTGGTTGGCATTAAGGGATTCGGGTTAACATTAAGAGGCTATGGGAGGACTTTTTATGTATTGTGTGTTAACTTATTCCGGGTGATTATTGAATTAAAAAAAAGGTGCTGGTTAATTAATGTTGAAGGTTCAAATCTAATGTAGTCATTATCACACTGTTGGACTATTCAGGGGACCAGTTTCAATAAACTTAGGGCAAAAGTAGACAGTTTTGCTTATATTTTGACCCTTAAAAATTATTGAAGAGCCAAGCCCATAATGTATTGTAAACTCCTTTTTTGAAAAAAAAGAATTGTAGGTTAGCTCGGTTTTGTTCTTGGGGCACACTTCTTATTTATTTATTTATTTTCATCGGTGGCAAGCTTCACAAACCCCTGACCTCCCTTATGCAAAATTAGGTACAACTTACCATGGATAAAAGCTCAAGGGAGCAGAATGTCATCTTACAATCTTCTAATCTTAAACATTATTTTAACCTAAGGTTATGCAAGGACTACAATGTTCCCCAGTCTAATTTAAACAAAATAAATAATGCAGTTGTATCATGTTACATTCTAATGGAATATGATTTGTGTTCAGATTCCAGTATCAGAGCTGGAAGGGAAGACTATAGGCTTCTATTTTGCGGCATATGGGCACCCTTATTGTCAAACATTCACACCAGAGCTCATTCGAGTCTATGAAAAACTAAAAGAGAATGGAGAGAACTTCGAGATCGTTTTGGTTTCTTCTGATTTGAAGCTAGAATCATTCAACAAGCATTTCTCAAGCATGCCATGGTTTGCATTGCCATTCCAAGATACTGCCTTGACGAGACTGACACGGATCTTCCAGATTCAAGGCTTCCCTACCCTACTTGTGGTTGGGCCAGATGGGAAAACCCTAAAAGATGACGCCGTGGGGGCAATTGAAGAACATGGGGTTGAAGCATATCCATTTACTCCTGAGAGATTCATAGAGCTTGTGGAGATAGAGAAGGAAAGGCTCAAGTCTCTGAACATTGAGTCACTTCTCTTGACAGAGGATCGGGATTTTGTCATTGACAAGAGCGGCAATGAGGTTAGATTCTCAATCAAGCAATTCTTTTCATGTCGTCTTCTTAGTCATAGTCTTCTTAGTCATAGTGTACTTTTTGCATCTCACACCAGCACACAGACAAACATCTCCATGGATTGGACAATGATGACCCTTAGGACTGATATTGCATCTAGGTCACATGAATCGTACTATATTTCCCATTTCTCTCACTCCAAAACACACACACACAAACATGTCGATGGATGCCATTCGTGCTTGAGCAATTGAGGATATATTTGTAGATTTGGTTAGCAAGGATTAGCAAACCAGATCCTACAAGAACTCCATCCGTAGCATCCTAATGAAGGAACTAAATATACTAGCTTGAGTTAGCCCTTTGTATGGATTGCCTCTTTGAAATGTGATCTTCTCATGTACAGGTGCCAATATCAGATCTTGCGGGCAAGAACGTGTGCCTCTACTTTGCTGCCAAGTGGTGCCACCTATGTCATGATTTTATGCCAAAGCTGATCCATGTATACAATGATATCAAGGCACGCGACCCGAACTTTGAAATTGTGTTCATATCAGGTGATCAAGACGAGGCATCCTTCAATGACTTCTTATGGGATATGCCATGGCTTGCCCTACCATATGGTGACATGGCAGTGGGAAAATTGTTGCAATTGTTTAAGATTGCAAGTGTCCCAACATTGGTGGTTGTAGGCAAAGATGGGGGATTGGTCTCAAGCAATGCAATAAAGCTTCTTTGGAAGCATGGTCCAAGGTCTTACCCCTTCACTGAGAAGAGGCTAAAGGAGATCAAAGAAGAGGTTCGAAATTGGCCAAAACATATGAATCTATCTGTGCATTCAGAGCATCCACTTGTGTTTACCAAAGGAAGGTGGTATATATGCGATGGGTGCAACAAGGGGGGCTTTGGATGGACATACTATTGCAAGAAATGCGACTATGATCTTCACCCAGAATGTGCTTTGGAGAAGAAAGAAGAGAGGGCAAATGGCACAAGTTAAGGCTTTAAATGGTAGGGGAGAGGGTATAAAGATAAATTGTGTGGATGAGGTGAAAATGGTAAATAGCTTGCATGGTGATAATGACCTAAGTGACCATGCTAAGCAAGAGGCGTTAGAACACAAAGGGGTGGATTTGTGATGGGGAGGCATGTTACATGGCTTGATTTCTGTTGAGCCCAAGATGACAAAAAGAAGGGTGGATTGTGAGATGGAGGCAGATTTATATATGGGAGGCTTGATTTGTAAGCACTTTTAGGGACTTTTGGGATGAATTATTGTGGGACATAATAATTGAAGGTACATGAAGATGGCAATCACCCTTGCTGTTGAATGTACATTTAAATTAAAAGTTAGGAGTGTACCATTCAGCATGATCAAAGTTCAAGAAGGCTATTCTTCCAACTTTATAATATGCCCTTAACCATTCAGTTCCAGGGTGATGTAGATCTTCTTGTACCAAACCAAAAGTAAACAAGCTTGTTAGTTACCATCCCTATTATATGTGCAATACTTTTCAGGTAAACTCCATGAGACATTCCAAAGATTTGATGTAATTGCTCAAATTGTCTATATGGTTGCCTCAACCTTAGTCACCCCTTAATCAAGGTTGATGGAAATGGAGGAGTTCTCTAAAACCCATAGTGGGGTTTTGGATCAGCCTTTCGATGGGCCAATTTAGATTGGTCAAACCTGGCAATCCAAATCAACTGAATCAGGGAAAATAGCAATAATAAATAAAAAAGGGTAATTGGACAGGTCCATGGACCCATATAATCTATCACCAAGCCCAATCCAATCCAAATCACCTTCTTAAAACTTTTATTTAAGTGATTAGCCCAATCCAATCCGAATCACCTTTTTAAAACTATTATTGGAGTGATTAACTTCATGGCCTTTACATTGAGAAGACTGATACAACCAATGGTTTAAAAAACGGATCGGTGACTTGGATTGGGTACCCAAAAAATCGATTCGGATCGGC